CATAGATTTATAAAACATATATTATAGAATCGGGATTGTTACAAAATTGAGCCAGAGTACAAAATTTTTTCATAATGCGGCTTCTAAAATAGTTCCGAGCTTCAGTCAAATGTGATAAGAGTTTTCCTTCGTAGCTTCCTGGCATCCATGCATTATTTCTTGGTAAATCAATTATTTTTGCAAAATGTTTTTTTTCCGATCAATTCAAAGAAGAAATTTAACGAAAACTAGAAACTCATGTAATTGACAATTTTATCGGACAGCAAATAGACTTCAAGGTAAGTTTTTTGTTGTTTCCTTAATTTGTTTCTTTAACCAAGTATTCTCAGACGTCTTTAAATTGGGTTTCAAAAAGTTGGCCCAAAAAATTTGACAACACCAATTGAAAATGACTAATTGTGTTTCTATTTATAATGCAAGCAATTATTCTATTTCTACCTGTTGGTTTGTATCTCTCCTCCTCTCATAGATAATTTATGATCATTGCTCGGCTTTTTTAAATTCGGGGCGCTATTTTCATTTTTAGCCCAGGTAATTTTTTTATTACGTAAAATCAAGAGAACGGCGTAAAATCAAACAAATGTCTCATGAAGATCAAATGATCATTAAGCTTTCGATAGCAGTTCCTCATGCTGTTCAAAATTTTTGATAAATTATCTCAGTGTCGAGAATTTTTATGTGTTAGTGAACAAAATGGTAAGAAAGAGAGCTATTCTCATGCGCGAAGGAACGAATGCGCGAAAAAAATTCGTGAGCGAATGACCGGAAAAAAAATTAGCCGAAAGTCAAATTTTAAAAAGAAGCAATTGCCATTGAATTAAATGAAGCAATATTTCGCTTCTTTTATAACGAAACTCTTGAAATATAAAACTTATCCAATTCGGCGGCATTAGTGACAATTTGGAAAGTTTTCCTATTTCTGTTTTTATATTCGGCCAATATCAATATTCTAGTCCCTGGAAATGTTTACTTTCTTTGCAAATTTTAGATTACTGAAATCTGATTGACTGTTTTTTTATTTTCGCGCATTCGGTCCTTCGCGAATGAGGGATTCCACTGTAAGAAAGTACAAATGGCGCGAAAAAGTATGAATGACTTGAGGTTTCAAAAACAACCTTTTGATCTGGCCTTCTCATGATGGACGGTTTCAATTGTGGAAACTTGGTTTTAGTTATTTTCAGCCAATCAGAGTTCGAAACCTCAAAGAAATCGCAAAAAAATCTCAAAGAAAGCGAATAAATCCAGGCAATTGAAATTAAAATTGACCGATCAAAAAATATGCAGATACATGCGTTTTCAAACATTCCGGCATCAAATCTTGCATACAAAAATCATAAAACCGGTTTGAAAAACTTGAACAAATTGATTGTATAACTGCACGAATGTAAAACAAAAACCTGTTGTGCTGCTATAGCTCAAATTCTGTTTATAATGACTTCGGTCTAAAAACTCTAATTGGTTAATTATTTTACATCATTGAGAACAATACCACCTGGTTTGTTTAATCAAAAAAGTGTCACGATATGATGTTCTTGAAACTCAAACAGCTCGCAAAATTTAAAGCTGGTATGTTTTCTCGTTGAAATTAAAAAGTCGTAAATTAAAGCGTTCTCAACCGTGATTTGATTAAAGTTTCAACTGTTTCAAAAAGTTATCGCAGTATCGAGAAAAACATATCTAACAGTTTTTATTTTTATTCTAAATTCAAGCAAAAAAAGCGAACGAGAAGTCTTACAATAGCTTATTTAAGCTCAATTTAAGTTCCAAAAACTTTGTTTTACTCGAGTAAAATTTGTTTTTAAAGTTTTGCAGCGCCATATTAGGAATCAGAATTTGATTGAAAAAATTTCTGCATAAACATCGAAAACATTTTTGAGCTATTTAAAATTTTTTAAATAACTTTTTTTAGTCATTTATCTGCAAAAATGTCCATTTAACTGCCAAATTTGCTTTTGTTTTAGGTTTTTGTTCAGATTTTTTTTATCTTGCCACGCAGAAACAACTACACTTATTTGAAAAAAAAATTGATTTTTTTTCGATGGTCGGAACGCTGTGTGCTACTTGCACAGTAGCCGGCTATCCTAGTTCCCTATTGGTTATGTTTTTTAATTGTTTCTTCTTTTTCAGTGATGGAGAAACTGCTTCTTCACGACACCAGCGACACGAGTGACATCGAGTACCCCCTCCCCTCCCCCGGCCAGGCGGGAACAGACAGCAGGGGACACCGGAGCAGTGTCACAACCAAGAAGTCGCCCGCGAGGAAGTCTTTGAATGAGATCACCAATCCGGGGATGATTGGCCATCATCAACTCATCACTATCCAGCCAGATGGAACAATACTAGGTAAGTTGAAGTTGTTGACGTATTATTCTTTGATGTTTTTCTGTGTTCTTTTTAAATTTTTTTGTTATTTTTCAAGGTAAATGAATGTTTGTTGTTCTCGAGAACGCGCTCGCAGAAAGTCGCTGAACATGAAGAAGTTGAACACGATGAACACCATAGCTTACTATAAAATAGCTGCTTTAAAAAACAAATCCTGTAGCCCACAATCTTTTTGTGCCAGCGGTGAACTTGAAAAGGTTACGGTGAGAAACATCCGTGGTTGAAATTATATGAAATTTTACCTCGAAAATACCTCAGAAACTTTTTAGATAAATTTTGGAAAATTTTTCACAAGCAATAATTTTTTCTTTCGTAACATACAAGAAGCTATTCAACTTGCTTATTAGCAGGGGCGGATCTAGGATTTTCTCGAGGGGGGGGGGGGGGGGTTTGGGTTGCGGATTTTCAATTAAAAAAAAATTTTATGGACTTTTTTTTTAGGTCGACCAAATTGATTTTCAAAGCTCTCCCTAATCACTATAAAGACCCTATTTTGACCAAGTTTCTGCGCCGCAGCCAATTTTTTGCAGAAAAACAGGCCAAAAAAAGGTACTTTTAGAAAAATTTAGGTCAGTCAATCAGAATGGATGTCTCAAAATAGTACAAAGGGGGACCCTTTAGGTCGACAGGAGGTGGATTTCCTGAGGAGGGGCGTTCGCACCCCTAAATCCGCTGGTGCTTTTTAGAATTTTTGGCCCGCAACAATTGATGTTTTGGGCATTAAAATCGGTGTGCGATTTGGCGTTGTTGTTCTCATTTAGTCACAGAATGCGAGTTAAAATTCAGAAATTTGTTCTCTGAAGTTAAACTATCAATCCACATTTGTGAATGAGCATAAGCAACGTTTTGCAGAAAAAAAAATTGATCAATAAGACTTTGAAAAAAATCGCCAATTTTGAGCAGTTTTTGCACGCCATCAATTTTTTGAAAACAACATCTTTACCATAAAAAATGTTCCGTCTTGTTCAACATGAAGTAAGTCATATCAAAGCTATAAAAATGTCAGTCAAACGTCTGTAAAATTCTGAAAACGAGAATTCAACTACTTATTTTTCGACTTACACTCGCTGGCTTCCTGTCTTCTCACATAACATAAACCTCTTTTGTTCTGATTTGGGTAATTAGTGCAGATGGACAGTTTGATGCAACGGTGAATTCAAATTTCAGTTGGTGAAAATAGATTTACCTTGCAGTTGTCAGGTGAGGAAAGATAACAGCCCATTCGCCTTCCTAAATCAGTTTATGGTGGAGATTTCTATCTTGATTCGGCAGAACCATGAACTATTAATAATTACGCTTGCGTTAAGAAAGCGTTATCAAACTGGAATACAGATTTTTATTTTCTAGTTATTAACTAGTTAATCAAAATCAGATGAATCACCTGCTGACTATGCAGCTGACTATGCAGCTGACTATGCTGCTGACTGATATCCTCATTTTCTTGAAAATTCAAACTTACCACAACGGATTTTGCTTTTGCAGTAGACAAGTTTCATTGTAGATGCAAGTGAAAGTACTGTTCAATCTAATTTCAGCGGGGGGGGGGGGTGAGGGGGGAATTTAAAAGATTTTTTTTATAAAATCTTTTTTTTTTTTGGTTCACAGTTGGTGTCTGCTCAAAGCTTGTCGGCTTAGTTGCCACATCTCAGATTTTTTTTTTGCTGCAATATAGACTTTTATTTTCTAGTTAATCACTAGTTCAACAAAATCTATTGAATCACTTGCTTTCTATGCAGCTGACTATGCTGCTTAGTGACATGCTCATTTTCATGAAAGTTGAAATCTAAAACAACGGATTTTGCTTTTGCTGTAGATAATTTTTATTGTAGTTGCAAGTGCAAGTGATGTTCATTCTAATTTCATGGGGGGACTTAAAAAGTTTTTAAAAACTTTTTCATAAAATCTTTCTAATTCGGTTCAGCTTGTGTCGGCTCTAGTTTCAAGGGGGACTTGAACAATTTGCTAAAAAAAATATCATTTTTTTTTCGGTTAAATTGGTTTCAGCTCAAAGATTGTTGGCTTGGCTGCCACATCACAGTTTTTTTTTGTGCTGTAATTAACTTTCGTTCTAGTTGCAAGTGCAAGTGTTTTCCATTGTTGTTTAAAGTGGGACTTTAATTTTTTAAATAAAATTATACTTTTTTCGGCTCTCTGTCTGCTCAAAGATTCTCGACTTTGTTTTTTTCGTAAATTTTTTTTTGCGTTGTTGCTGATTTAAAATTCAAGTTTCTGGCATGTTTGCCTGGATTGAACTACTATGGAGACTTACTACTTTTTTTTCGTTTTCATTATGTTTGTGTTGTATCGCAAGTGGTGCGAAGCTCCGCTTCGCCTGTTTAATAAATGGTTTCCAAACGATATCTAGTTAGAAATAATTATGAAATTTTACAGTACAAATCTGAATCATATGGGAGAAAACCATAAAGACAGTACGGCCCGTTTTCTGGTGTCTTATCCAGCGGAGAACGAAAAAAATAGTCACTTTTTGGATCCGATGGATCGTTCTACTGATAAAACATTTTTTAAATGTACACCTCTTTGTATCCTCTTTTCAACTCTTTTCTTTTTTAAAAATTTTTATATTTTTTTTTCTCGGGTAGTTTTTTCTACTGATAATCTAAAAAACGAACAGACACACATTCTAATTTTTCATCAAAAAAATCTGACAGCTTGCCCAATAAAATTGTAATTCCTGGAAAGTAATTTTTCAAAAATTTATGATTAAAACTATTCAACTGAATCAGAGAGAGAACCAACTTTCAAAAAACTGGCGGGAAAATAATTTAAAACAATATTAAACGTTTTCTGATCAACCCTTTGTAGAGGTTATTTCTATTTAAAGCTACCGCACTTTAATGCATTCCAAATAAGAATGTGCTTTTATCAAAACTGCTTTGTGCTCAAGGCTCGGCCGATTAACGCTCCATTAGTGACAACATTTGAATTTCATTTTTAAAAAATTTTGCAAAGCGAAAAGCAGAAAACGAAGAAGAAGAAGGTCTTTTTTACATTCAGATATACATCTCAAAAAAATCAAATCATGAAAACAAAAGTGTGCACGTAAGAAAACGACTTTTACATGCATACTCGCCTATGCGCCAATTTATTTTGACGAGCTATCTAGCTTTAAGGTCTTTTAGTTAAATTGTTTCAAACCTTAAATTGACTCAAGGAATCCGTCTTGACAACAACCTAATTTTGATCCGTGTTAGTACAAGTGAAACTTCTGTCAGCTTTCAACAGTATTGAAGCAAGTTTATAAAATTTGAAGATAGATTTGGAGCTTTGTTGAGCAGAGTCAGCAGAATTTTATCAACCAAAGAGCACACACTTTCTGTTGCGCCGCGCACGTTTGAATCAGTTTTGCGCCAGATGAATACAAAAGTAACAAAAAATAGGGTTCTTGCTTGCGCTTAAGATCGTGAACAGCTTCTCACGGACGGTGTCCATCCACGATGTTTTTACCAATACTCACGTTCGGTCTTTCGAACAAAGTGAGGAGTCTATATGCTTCGGCTGTTTTTTTATTCAGACCGACTTTACTAAATATTGCAGCGTATGGGTATCGATCCGGAGCAAGTATGCTTGCTTTAGACTAAAATGCGTGTAGAATCGCTGGTTGAATTAAAGTTTGATAGTTGCAATACGCCAATTTTTTATGCGCGACAAATTATCCGCACTTTTAATTGTTCCATATTGAATTGAGGCTAACTCCAATTTTGTGATAATTCTAATCAATCCTTAGCTTATGAAAAATTCGACGGCTCTTTTTCGTCTCCCCCCCCCCACCTCACACGATTATCAATTTAATGGTCTAACGAGTGGTTTTATATGATTGATATTGATTAGTCTGCATGTCTATTTTCATGACAATCGGACAAGGTGAACAAAAGTTTTTTCTGTAAAATTTTGAAGGTGGAGGGAAAAGGAAAAAGAGCCGTTTCGACTGTGCTCGAGCTATGTTTCGACCGTGCTCTGGGTATATTCCGACAGTGCTCGATGTATGTTTCAACACTGCTCGGCTGTGCTCAACCTTGCTTGAATTATGTTCACACAAGCATAGCTTGTGTTATAGTACGATTTTTTTTCCAACCTTACTCGCAAAAATTGTTGCGATGTAATTGTTGCGACAAAACGTGTTCATTTTGAAAGTATTCATTTTGATCCACTTATTAACTACAGCCAATGCTAAGGATATTAACACTGACTGTTATATATTAACACTAATTCTAATATAAGTATAGAGAAGCTTCGACCGAGTAAAAATTGTGCTAACTTTCAATTTCAATTGCGGGGACAGGCATTGCAAATTTTTCTAAATTCACCACAATTTCACTGAATTTCATATGATTATTCAAACTTTTTGGTTGACTTAAAAATGTGTCCGAATTCATTTTAAGGTTAAGCTTCGAACGCAAGTAAAACCAGTGTAATTTCACCCAACACCCTTGCTGCTGTGTCTACAGGCACTGCTCTTAGAGGCATTGGTAGACCGCGTTGCACGCAAAAACGTAGCAAATGACGAGCGTCAGAAATTCGCAATGCAACACCCTGATTAGCTTTTTATTTGCGTCTTTCGGCGAGCAATGCCTTTTTGGTTTACATTAAAAAGATAGGAGCAACTGAATACTCTAGCAAAAAACTTATGCACGCTCTACATTCATTTACTTGCAGGTCGATTTTGCAAAAGATGGTTTGAGTGATATACCACCCGACATGACAGATAACCTTAAAAAAAATCTCAGTAAAAATAGTCAAACAAAAGGTATGCAAAATGTTAAGCGTGTTGAAGCGCTTACGAAACAGTTTGTTAACATTATTCTAGAGTGAAACACTAATCACCTACATTCAGGCGGCTACAGAAGACAAAAAACTCTGATACTCAAAAAATTTGTTGGAGCAGGCAAAAACAACGCCAGGGGCAATTTTTCTCTAAGTTTACGTGGTCCTGGCGCAATTGGGGAGTAGACAAAGATCATGAGGCCGGAGGAAATACAAATGGTCCGTCCTCAAGCTTATTGTCCTCAACCGTTCAAAACCCTCAC